CAAAATTAAAATTCTAATATTTATTTTGTTAATAAGAGTCAATTTTTTTTTCTTATAATTTCTCCAAAATGTAATCTAAACCAATCATACGAGTTACACATTTTTTTTTAAACCTTAAAATTATCGAGTTGGGTTAAACGGGTTGACCAGGCCATCATGCCCTTGGTCACCTTATCATATCCATGTATAGGGCTTCAAAAATGAGTTGTTTAGTTTGAGCTTAGCTTGTTCAAAACTCTTTTAACCTTGGCTCTTACTAAATGAACGAGCTAAAATTCGATTTTTAGACTCGTTTATTAATCGAGCCGAGCTCAAATAGCTTGTTTATTAATCGAGCTGAGTTTAAATAGCCCCAAGCGAGAAGGCTCATGAACATAAAGAAAACAAATTAGTATTTATTTTTAATAATATAACAAATATTTTTTTTATTAATTTAAGTTATTTTTCTATTTGTGTTTGGTATTTGTATAAATTTACATATTTAATTAGTGAAATTTATTATTAATATAAGTATTCCTATTATTTTAATCAGAATTTGTTTTTTCATATAATAAGTAAATTAATCTAAGTTTTTCTTTTCTTTTTCAAGCTTAAGCTCGAGTTCGAACTCGGCTTGTAAATGTAAATGAGTTGGCTCAAGCCGAACTTGAATTTGTTAAACATTTGACAAGCCAAACTCAAGTTCGATGATTTAAACTCGACCTAAGCTATGCTCTAGCTCGATTAATTATCAATAAACAAATTTGAACACTTCAAAGCTCGGTTTAACGTAGCTTGTTTGCAACCCTATCCATGCATAAATGCATAAAATGAACTTATTACTAATAAAGGTTTGACTTCTCTCAAGTTTACCATCTTAACTTGAGAGAACGTTTAGGGTTAGTAGGCTCATTTTTTGATTGATTTCAGTGATCCAAATCGTTCATATCTTAGGACTCCTTAAGAAAAATATTCATGCAAAAAATCAAGATGATTGAATATAGATAACTATATGTTTGAATCAAATTTGTATTATAAAAAATAGATGGTTATTATTAAAAATTATATTTGTCATCCATTTTTTTAAAAAAACAAATATGATTTAAATATATAACTACCGATGTCCAATTGTTTTGTTTTTTCATAAATATTTTACTCAACGAGTCCTATAAAGTGACTATTCATATCACCAATTCGATCATAAAATGAACTTACCAAATCCAAAACGCTCTATTAAGTTGAGATACCAACTTGAGAGAAACAAAACCCTACCAATAAATACTATATTATAGACTTTTTAGGATCTAACTCAAGATATCACCCATTTGTGCTAAGTTATTTTTTTTAAAGCTATATTATATTAATAATGGAAATTCCATTGCACACCAAAAAAAATCTCAGTGCAAATCATTTGCCATGTTTGGTTTTAGAAAATTGAGTTTACTTTTCAGAAAATTGAATTTATTGTTTTTTGTATTTTTTTTGTTTTTAGTAAATTTTTTAATAATTTATGCATTTAAAAAAAAATTAGATACACCTAATCTAACGCTTAAAAAGTACAATATTTGTTAGGGAAAAAAAAATTTAAAAAATTCACTAAATAGAAAAAATATAAAAAATATGAAAATCCAATCCATTTTCATATTTTGTTGTATTTAGTGATTTTTTTAAAGATTTTTGTATAATTATTATTTTTTTTACTTTCTAAGTATATTACTAATAAGTGGATCTAAAAAAAATGATTAAAATATTTTTAAAAACCATTAAAAATACAAAAAAATACAAATTGAAAATGAAAAAAAATTGTTTTGGAACACTCAAAACCAAATAGGGTTAGTTTTATTAATTTTCAAACAAAAGATAAATGTTTGGACATAAATTGATGAATAAAAAAAATTGTCCAAATACATATTCCCTTCAACTGTTTATGTTCGAACAATTACCTTTTGTTTATAAATTTATATTTGAATATTTGATTTTTATTTGAAAATTTATATCCGAATCATATAAATAGTGTATGGTGAGATTTTTTTTGTGGTGTTTATTTCCACTCAAACCTTCAAAATTTGGTGTGCCAAATTTTTTTGAATACTTGGGTAGTAAATTGGCATATGTAAATTTAACATACAAACTCTCCACCCAATATATCAAATATATTATTTTATTATTTTTAAAAATAAAATTATTTTATTAAATGGACTCAACGTTTGACATTAATATAAAACATATCAAATTTGACATATTAAATTATGCTGAATAAAAACTTAACATTTGACTTATCAAATGAATTTCATTTCTCATGTAAGAATAAAATTATTAGACTGTCATATTGAATTTGACATTTGGTCTTAGAGCGTCCCCACCAGAGCCCCCAAACCCCAGGGGTAGATAGCTTCCTATACACCTGTATCAGCTCCCTTAAATAATTTCCTAAATTAGTTTTTGCTACAGTGGCTCTCTATTTGTAGGGAGTCACTGTAATTCCCTTGTATATATATATATATATATGTATTTTTACTTTGTTTTGTTTAGGGACTGTAATACACGTTTATGATTTTTATTTTTTTAAAATTATATTTTAGTAAAATAAAGAAAAAATAGAGAGTTTGTTAATAGAATAGAGAAATAATAGGACATCTGTTTGAAAAAGTAGATGAAAAAATAATTTTTAAAATAAAAAATATATTTTTTAATAATATTTTAAAGTAAAATTTAGATAAAAAGGTGGGGATGCTCTTACCTACTCTAATTTCTCTAATTTGTGTTTATATCCTTGGTCAGTGTTTCAAATTACATTAAATTAAGGGAAAATTACCAAAAAGTCTTCTTTGAAAACGTGTAGTCTATTTAGTCCCATAACTTTTTGTTTGTACCCAAAAGCCCAATAACGTTATTCTTCTTCTGTGCCTTTCTTCTTCTATGCCTTTCTTCTTCTCTTGGTGATTTCCGGCGATCATTGACGAGTAATCATATCTTGCTTCTTCTCTTTCTGATATATAGTCACCGGCGACCAACGACTACCATCGATTGGGATTCACCGGCAACCACCGACCGCCGAATCCTTACCTCACCGACGGTAAAGAAGATATGTTTCCGACGAATAAGATGAAGAAGATGAGTAGATCTGTAAGGCCCCGGTGTCCCACATCGAGAATGGAGGGGGAGTTCTTGCGCTATAAAAGTAAAAACCTGGACCCTTATATAGCATCGAGGCCTTTTCCCGGGGTGGTGAGATCCCTATTAGAACTCCCCAGTTAAGCGTGCTTAGGCTGGAGTAGTTCTAGGATGGGTGACCCACTGGGAAGAACAAATCCGTGCGAGCGTGACCCAAAACAGACAATATCGATAATATGTGAAGGGTTGGGGCGTTACAAATGGTATCAGAGCCGACTCTCCGGAGTACCGAGTGTGGGCCCCTGGCGTCTCTTGGTGTATGTGGGCGGGCTTGCGACTCTATTTTTTTAGGAAAAATTACCAAGAAGTCTCATTTGAAAAAAGTGTAATCTATTTAGTCCCAAAACTTTTTATTTGTACCCAAAAGTCCAATAACGTTATTCTTCTTCTCTACCTTTCTTTTTCTCTTTGTGATTTCCAGCGATCGTTGACGGGTAACCATATCTTGCTTCTTCTCTTTCTTTTTCTCTTTCTGATATATAGTCACCGGTGACCACAGACTACATTCGATTGGATTTCACCGGCAACCACCGACCGCCGACTCCTTACCTCATCGACGGTAAAGAAGATATGTTTCCAACGAAGAAGATGAGTAGATCTACTTAGATCTGGAGTAGATCTAACTAGATCTAAACAAAAAATAGTTGCCGGAGTACAATCATCTCTTTATATTCGCTTCTCTCCTACGATCTCTTATTTTTTTTACATTTTCTCTGCTATACACTTCTCTTTTTCTGTTCTAATGGAGAAAATTTTCAAGTTCTGAACAAATTGTTTTCGAGTTTTAGTTACAAGCGGTGAAAACTGTAAAATTTTGCAGTTTCAAATTTTTTTGGTACTGGAATGAATCATGTTTAAAACTGTAAAGTTTTACAGTTTCAAAATTTTTTGGTTCTGGAATGAATCATGGTATAAAACTGTAAAATTTTGCAGTTTAATAACTTTCTTTAGAACTGTAAAATTTTACAGTTTCATAACATGTTTTTCAGTTTAATTAATGAAGATAAATGCTTAATAGATTTTTTCTTTGAAACTGTAACATTTTAGAGTTTCAAAACTTGTTTTTCAGTTTGATCAATATTGGAGATTATTTGCTTAAATCTTACAAAAATTGAAAAATAGAATATGTTTTTCCCATTGTTGCTGTTTTTTGTCGTTCCATTTTTTTTTTCTTTTTAGTTTATTAATATTTAGCACATTTTGCTATGTTTTTTCTCTCTAATTTCTTCATTTTTTTTTCCCGACAATATTGTGCACATTCCGGTGAGTCTCCAATGATGTTCTTAACATCCAGTGAACGTTCTGAACATTCCGGCGACTTCCATTAATGTTCATAACACTCCGGTGAACTTCCGGTGATACTCCGGCGACTTCCCGGTAATACTCCGGTGACTTTCTGATGATGCTGAATATTCCGACGAGTCTCCAGTGACCGTCGACGGAAATTCGACGATAGTAAGATATAATAGCGGCTGTAAATTAAAAAAAAAAAATAGAATCTTTTAATAATAATTAAAAATATATAAGACTAATTAATACAAATATTTTGTTTGGAAATTAAATAGGTCTTAGAACTTTGTATACCAGTAAGTTCCCCTTAAATTAACTTGTCCCAGCGAGTGCGAGGCCCATATTCTCAGGACAAGCCCAAGCGTGAGAACAAGGCGTAGAGAAAGTTCCAAACAAAAAATTTCACATTGAAGCTCTCAAAAATGGCGACAATGGCCGAATCATCAGCCGAAAACCCAATTATACCACCACCAACACCACCATCATCGTCATCATCTCAATCACAAAGCGATGGCTCTTCGTTCTCAAAATCGAAAACCCCGGAAGTCACCACGCCATGGATCGACTACGCAGCCCAGCAAGCACAATTGGTGCAGAAGACCGTCGAAGACACACTAGACTCTGCAATTAACATCACCAGATCTCGTCTCGACCGCTTTCTGACCACTGGATCCGCTCATCTTCAACAGACCATCGTAAGTTTCTTCTGTCCTGCTCAATTTACATCTGTTTGGTTGTCCAGAAAAGAAAAGAGGAGAGGAAAATTTCTAGTCTTTTGTTTTATGCTGAATTCGACCATGGCAACATGATTTTGGATATATTTGATTTACTTTATCTTTCCACATTGGCCTTCTCATTTGCTTCTCGAGAAAATTTGAGGGGATTTATTATTAGTTCGTTTTTAATTTGTTAATATTGTTTGTAGGAGAAAATAAATCTTAAAATTTGTTTCATGCCTTGGTGTGAAATAATAAGAAATGATGAGAAAGAGAACTCTTTTATCATGTTTGGTTTACAAGAAATGGGGTAAGAAAGAGAACTCTCATATTTTATATGTTTCATTTCTCACAAACAATTGATTGGTTATGTATTTTTTTTTATAATACCGAGACTGCATTATGAAATATAAAGGTAGAAAATGAAATCTCATCCCTATCCTTGTATCACATATTTTGCGTTCTTACTCATCCAATTATGATAGTAAGAAAGCACAACTATATATTTTTTTTTCTCACCCCACGTTCCAAACATAGTGAAACTACGTCTTCCTAAGATCCTGCCTAATGCCAGTAACATTCTATCACTTAAAATCCTTTAAAATTCTAGCTCTTTCGTAGTGGTATTTCACCGATGACTCGCCTTCCAACTAAGCTGTGCAGGAAAGGCTCAAAGACAATCCTGGGAAACAATAAAGCTTCACAGACTAGGTCCATGTAGTGCATCGACATGGAAGTTTTTGATTCTTTTGTTTCGGGATAAATAGCCTCATATCATAGTACAATAGGGACATCGGGCATATTAGCGGGTCAATTCCCTTCCAATAGGAGATTTTAGTAAATAACCAATTATAATACTTGGGCTAAGGGTCAAGTTGGTAATTTTTCTTGCATCTCCCCCTTTGTGAGCCTAGGTTTCATATACGCCTCCAACTTCCCATAAAACTAATTATTTAATAATAATCAACTTGTCATATTCTCGCGTCCCACACCAACTTGATTGCATCAACACAGCTATTGGATTGTGGTTTCTATGTGTCAAGTTTAAGTAGAGGATCTAACTTTTTCTAGGCACTTATTTTGGAAGAAATAATGTAAACCTTCGTTTGAATTGGAGGCTTTATCTGGGAAACAATTGTTGTTTGGGATTTGAAGATTTTACAATTTCTTTAAGGCCTTCTAGTTGAAACAAAGGCTTTATCCAATCCAACAACTAAGGTCATTGTTTATATTGGAGGGATGGAAAACGAAGGTATTATTTGGCATGCAAATTAACATCGAACAATTGTTAGATTTGGGGGCTTTTTAAAGCCTCTGGGCTACGTTAGGACTTGGGAGGCAAAAAAATCTGATTCTGTGTCTTCTTCATTCTGTCATTTGTTGTGGCCAAACACATGGAATGCAATTCTAGGTTATCTTTCCAAGGCCGAATGAGATAATCACATTATGAGATTCCCACACCCCCCATTGGAATAGGGTTTAGGGTAGCCTACAATATATATAGCTTCTTTATTTATTTATTTATTTTATTTTATCATTATCTTATGTGGGATAATAATGGTAAGGATACGAGAAATGAATATTTAATTCACATTTTTTTTTTAATTTTTAAATTTTTATTCAAATTCATAATTCAAACAGGCTAAAGATCTTATCTTATCCAAACTAACCTTATAGTTTTTTTTTTCCCCTTTCTTTCTATGGGATAAAATTCACTATTGTGGACTCAATCATGTTGGTATATGAGTTCACTATGGGTTCTATTTTGATTATTCAATCTGTTTATATTTTGCACTTTTGTGTGTAAATGATTTATGAAAAAATTCAGACTGATTTGATGATTGTAGCCAAATGAAGAAAATATATATATAATTTTTAAAAAAAGTGTTGCATTCATGGACATTATTTTTTATTGAGCAGATTAGTAAGTATTTAAAAAAAAAAGAAGAGATGATGATCATTAAGATCAAAGAGGTTTTACTTAATCCAATTTTTAGTGCAATCTTCTTCTTTATCCAAACACTAAAGTTGTTGTTTTACATTGAAAGTCCATACAATGTGCTAGTCACCGATCCATGTGGTACTATGCCGGCCCATTTTCTTCTTTCCTATCCTTACTCCTAAGAAATTATTTAATGCTCTAGGAACAATGTGTTAGAATATTATTAGTTGGGTTTTTTATTCAATTGTAATTATTCTATGCCTTGGGGCTCTCTTGTAATTATTAATCTTTATTAATATAAAAAGGGGATGATATCACAATCATTCCCTAATCTTGATATTCTCTAAAATTATCATGGTATCAGGCAGTGGCATATTCTACCAGTGGGTCCACTCCCTCTCAGATACCTAAGAGTGAGAGTTCCATTATATCTACTACTATGACGGATAATCTCAACTAAAACCAAACCAAACCAAACCAAGCCATAAGTCCCTTAATTCGGATCCCTTATGACGGATAATCTCAACCCTAGTCTTAAAATCACCACCTCTCTATTCAATGGTTAAAACTATCTACCGTGGTCGCAGAGTTTGACTATTTCTTTGAAGAGCAAAGGGAAGATGGGGTATGTTGATGGCAAGATACAGGCACCTAGCACCACGGACCAGGGTTATGATCAGTGGGAGATCACCAACTCCCTAATTATGGGTTGGTTAATACAGTCTATGGCCCCAGAGATTAGAGAGGGCTATCTATCTATGGACACTGCACAGGATATCTGGGAGGTAGTGGCTACTACTTATTCCCGTAAAGGGAATTTCTCACAGGTTTTTGAGTTGCGCCGTTCTATTGAGAGCTCTGTTCAGGGACAACAGACTGTTTTTCAGTACTTTACCTTCCTCACCAACGGTTGGAAACGCCTTGATCACCTGCAGGACTATAAACTTGTTTGCACTGCTGATTCAGTCGGATACAGGAAGTTCATTGCACAAGAAAGGGTCTTCAAGTTTCTAGCCGGTCTCAATGTAAAGTATGATTCGGTTTGGAGTTGGGTTTTGGGTATGGACGCTCTCCTTCACTTCAGGAGGTATTTGCCTATATACAGAATGGGGAGAGTCGCCAGTCTGCTATGATGTCACCCATCTATACTGACCGCTCCGCCTTACTATCTACCCCTAGAGATGGCCTCAGCTTGACTCCCATCCCTTTGTCTGCCACCAAGGAGTCTGTATTCTGTGATTACTGTCGCAAGCCACGGCATACTCGTGAGACGTGTTGGAAGCTTCATGGGTTTCCATCCGGGGGTCAAGGTGATCGGTCTAGTTCTAGAGGAGGTCGGTCAGGCCAATCTCGAGGACGTGGCTCTCATCTACGGGCTCATCAGTCTAGTGCCGTTGATACATTTGATTCTCCATTTGCTTCTGTTGGCCAAGCTTCTGATGGCCTGTCTGGCCTGATTACTCATGAGCTTGAGGATGTTTTACGTCACTTGCTAGACCACTGGTCGTCTACTGCTCTCAGTATATCTTCCTCATCGTTTGCCCGCTTAGGTAACTTAGCCTCTTCTCCTTGTGTTTTTCTTTCTCATAAGTCTTTGCCTTGGATTATTGATTCTGGTGCCTCAGATCATATGTCTGGATCCTCTGACCTTTTCTCTGCCTATAAGCCCTCTTTAGGTCAGGACAAAGTTAGGATTGCAGATGATGCTGTTTCTTCTATTTCTGGGAAAGGTTTAGTGCATGCACTCTTACCATACCTCTATCTTTTGTTCTCCATGTTCCCAATTCTTTTGTTAACTTGTTATCCTTGAGTCGTATTACAAAGGATTTGAATTGTAGTATGACTTTTTTCCTTGACCATTGTCTTTTTCAGGACCTTGTCACGAGGAGGATGATTGGCGGTGGTAGTGCAGAAAATGGTCTCTACTTCTTGAATCAACTGGACTAGCTTGCTCATTCTTCCACCACGAGTCCTACTACCAAAGATGATCTATGGCTGTGGCATCGGCGTCTTAGGCATCCTTCTTTTTATTTACTTACGTATTTATTTTCATCTATTTTTGCAAACAATAATATGTCTGAGTTTCTTTGTGAGTCTTATCAATTTGGAAAATAACACAGAGCTTCTTTTGCTCTCAGTTTTAATAAAAGTTTAGTTCCTTTTTTATTAATACATTCTGATATCTGGGGTCCATCTCGTGTTATGTCTGTGAAAGGTCATCGATGGTTTGTTATATATTGATGATTTCTCTCTTACTACTTTTGGTGTGTCTCATGAAAGACAAGAGTGAAGTTTTCTCTGTGTTTCGCAATTTTCATCGGATAATTTGTACTCAGTTTGGGGCCACTGTCAAAATCTTCCGTTCTAATAATTGGGGGGGTGGGGAATATATAGATTCTGGGTTAGGGCAATATTTTTCTGCCAATGGCATTGTCTATCAAACCTCTTTCACCAATATCCCTTAACAAAATGGGGTGGCAAAACGCAAGAATCATCTTCTTGACATGGCTTGGTGTATGTGTTTTTCTATGAGTGTACCTCGGTCCTACTTGGGCGACGTTGTTCTCACCGCTGTCTATCTTATTAATCGCCTTCCTGCCCAGGTCTTGCAAAAACAAGCTCTCCTTTAAGTCCTCCTAGGTTTTGAGTCATTGTTTTCTATTCCTCTAAAAATATTTGGCTGTGTCTGTTTTGTCCACAATCACTCTCCTACTCGTGCTAAGTTGGACCCTCGCTCCCTCAAATGTGTTTTGCTTGGGTACTCTCCTACTCAAAAGGGATATAAATGTTATCACCCTCCTTCTTGTAAGTGGTTTGTGTCCATGGATGTCACAGTTTTTGAGTCCCAGTCCTATTTCTTGTCCTCTCTGGTGTCACAGTCCTCCCTTTAGGGGAAGCCTTAGTGTGAAGTGATTCCTGTGATTCCTATGGTGGAACCTGTTGTTCTTGCCCCACCACCTCTTACTGGGACTAAAAAACCCAATGTCACCAAAGATCGGGAAATGCAAGTTTATGTCAGAGACAAATGTAGACAGAAAGTTAACTGGATACAAGAGATCACTTCTGCTCACCCACTGCCATCTCCTGCTTTTGATGAGAATCCAGGTAACTTTGACTCTCTTGAGTCCACTAATCTTGATACTCCTATTGATCTTGATGTTCCTATTGCTAAACGAAAGGGTGTGAGATTTTGTATTCAACATCCTTTCTCAAATTTTGTGTTCTACTCTCATTTGTCGTCCTCATATAGAGCCTTTGTGTCAAATATTTCCTCTGTTAGCATTCCTAACCATTTCTAGGATGCTCTTGCTATCTCTGAGTGGAAACTTGCCATGATTGGCCAAATGAAAACACTTAGGAAGAATGACACATGGGAATTGACTGAGTTACCTAAGGGCAAACGACCTGTGGGATGCAAATGGGTGTATGCTGTGAAACACAAAGCAGATGGTTCTATTGAGCGGTACAAGGCTAGACTTGTGGCAAAAGGGTTCACTCAGACATATGGCGTTGGCTATCAGGAGACCTTTGCACCCTGGCTAAGATGAATTGTGTCAGAGTACTTCTCTCTCTAGCAACTAATCTAGATTGGCCACTTCATCAGTTTGATGTAAAGAATGCCTTTCTTCATGGTGACCTCGAAGAAGAGGTATATATGGACATTCCTCCTGGTTTTGAGGATCATTAGACAGAGGGTAAAGTATGTCAGTTTTGGAAGTCATTATATGGTTTCAAACAGTCTCTAAGGGCTTGGTTTGAGAGATTCACTCAGGCTATGCTTAAATATGGCTTCAAACAGAGTCAGACAGATCACACCTTATTTGTGAAACATTCCTTACGTGGTAAGACTATAGCGCTTATTGTTTATGTGGATGACATAGTTCTTACAGGTGATGATAGTGAGGAAATACCTCTGTTAAAGAAATATTTAGCAAGTGAGTTTGAAATCAAAGACTTGGGGAGCTTGAAGTATTGTCTGAGAATTGAAGTTGCTCACTCTAAGGATGTGATATTTATTTCACAGAAGAAGTATGTGCTTGACCTACTAAAGGAAACTGGGATGCTTGGCTGCAAGGTCTGTGATACTTCACTAGAACCCAATCAGAAACTGGGGGATGATGAAGGAGGAGTAGCTGTTGATAGCGGAAGCTATCAGCGTTTAGTGGGTAAACTCATTTACCTATCTCACTCCTGTCTTGATATTGCTATTGCTGTCAGTGTGGTTAGCCAGTTTATGCATGCTCCTCATCAGATTTACTTCAAGGCTGTCCTAAGAATTTTGCGGTACTTGAAGTCTACTTCTAGTAAGGGTCTTTATTTTTCAAAGTATGATCATCTTCGTGTGGAAGCCTATACAGATGCTGACTGGGCTGGATCAGTAACTGATAGGAGATTGACTTTAGGATATTGCACCTTTGTTGGAGGCAACCTAGTTACTTGGAGGAGTGAGAAACAGAATGTGGTTGCCAATTCTAGTGCAGAAGCTAAGTTTAGAGCTATAGCATAAGGGGTGTGTGACGTCTTATTGATCAAGTTATTGTTGAGTGATCTAGGTATTGATTAGACGAACTTCATGCGGTTATACTGCGATAATAAGGCAGCCATCAACATCGTTTACAATCCGGTTCAACATGATAGGACAAAACATGTTGAGATTGATCGCCATTTCATTAAGGAAAAACTCACTAGTGGCACAATATGTACTCCATTTGTGCAGTCTGGTGAACAACTTGTTGATATCCTCACCAAGGGAGTTGAGAGTAAGCCATTGTATGACATCCTAGGCAAGCTGGGCATGAGAGATATCTTCGCACCAGCTTGAGGGAGAGTGTTAGAATATTATTAGTTGGGTTTTTTATTCAATTGTAATTATTCTATGCCTTGGGGCTGTCTTGTAATTATTAATCTTTATTAATATAAAAAGAGGATGATATCACAATCATTCCCTAATCTTGGTATTCTCTAAAATTATCACAACGCTTTATTCTATTTACAGGTTGATACTTCACACTTTGTCTCTTAAAACTCTAACACAAAAGTGGTGGATCCCATGATTTAAACCAATAACTATTCTTTATCTTTTAACCCCTATCCCTATGTTTGGATGGCAAGAATCAAATAGAGGTAATAGGAATTACATTAACTTCAATCATATTACTACAAATAGAATTTCTAAAGGGAAGGTGGGGATCCAAATCTTACTTAGTTAATAATGCGATTTAGGGTGGAGTAGGTAATTAGAAATCACATTCCTAGAAGTCATATTCTTATTTTATTTTGTTTCAAATATTGAAATTATGAGGATCTAAAATGGCATTTTCATTCTGCTTCAATATTACTACCATCCAAACATGTGATAGAAATTTTGAGAATGAATGTGAACATGATTTACGATCCCAATGATTCTTAAATATATAAGAGAAAGGCTAGCTTACAATAGATATAGTCTTGTCATTTTTCATATAGAAGTCTTGACTAATCATAATGCTTGAATGACATTAATGTTGGAATTTAATTGCTAGTAATGAGATTCCCATTCCTTGTCTTTGATTCTTGCCGTTCAAACATGGGCTAAGTTCAACTAGGTTATATATACGTAATTTTAATGATAAGAGGAAGTGACTTTTTATGTGTATTTTTTGTTTGCTCATTCTCTCTCATGGGGTGTATGATGGGGTAAAATCATCTGTAATAAAAAAGTAGTTTGAGTTTAATGCTTGTAATAATTTTTATTTTTTATTTTTTGTTAAAGAAGTTTTAAAAACTCTAGGCTAATTTGGCACTTGGCAGGAGATTTTTCTTTTGTTAGGTCCCAAGTGATAAAAGATATAAGATTTGTCATATTAATTTATTTTATTTCCTGAATTTGTAATTTTTGTTTTTTATTTTATCATCAACCAATATGGTTCTAGTGCTATTCGTATCTATGTTTCATTCAATAACCTGATTGCAGGATTCTCTGCAAGATGTCAAGTCTGAGTATGGTGTTTATGAGGATATTGTCTTTGGGAAGATCAAAGGTTTGGACTGCTCGAGTTTATTACTCAATTCTTCTAGCTGATACTATAATTGGCATGGTTTTCTTTCAGTCTTAAATTAATGTTTTTCTCTTTGTTTTCACTGTCATCGTTTATTTGCAGAGGGTATTCTTGTTGCTGCTTCACATCCAGTGGCTACATGCAGTGCTGCTGCTGGCTTGGGATTTCTGGTTCTAAAGAGTATGGTCATAAATTTTATAGATAACCACTTTTTATGTTAGTTTGGAGTGGAGAGTTTAAATTGATAGTGACTATAATTTTAAAGTTATCCTTACTTTTTGATGTTTCTTTCTAAGTTCCAATAGCTATGTTAAAGGTTTTTGGAGATAATAATATATGACATATATCCGCTTCGTTGAAACTTGCCTGCCTTTGGAGATAGGCTGCTGGTGTTTGATTTTTGGCCAAGTATCTAGCATTTTCTATATCTAAGAACATGGGATGAATTTCTCTGCAAGAAATGAAAATTTTAATAAATGAATTAATCTTTCTATCTTCTTGTTCAATTTTTGCTGGTATGCCAATCCTGAAATAACTTATTCCAAATGTTTGGCGGTTAACTAGTTTCCCTCCTTTTGCCTTTCACTTATTTATCACTTGCAGAGCCGAGGCGTTTCTTGTACTACAATACTTTGCGCCTTGTTGCCAGTGAAGAGGTAAGCACAACAAGTATTACTGGCAGTTTTCAGTTGTCTGTTAACATCGAAACATTTTTTCCCCTACAAAATTTGATTTGCAACTTTTCTTTAATGACTGAGTAACGATGTAAAACATCAACGTGTATACCTTGTTTGCTAGTGCAAGTTGTTTGATATGCCAATCTGATATGACTTTAGATATTGACGTCAAAAAAACTGGTAAACTAATGTTCTTTCCCGCAGCTTAATGCTCATTGGCCAAATATGCCTAGGATTTGTAATGTACTGGTGAACAAACTAGTCTTGAGTGAAAATTGTGATATTAAAGCTTTTATTTTACTTTTATCTAAACATTGGATAGGTAGCACAATATAGGTGATATAAGGCAATTTTAGATCTCTTTCAGGGGATTCAGAAGCTTGTTGGGCTACTAGCGTTTAAATACCGAATGAGAATTATTCATTGTTATACCAGGTAAAATTTCCATTTGCATAGAGGTGGTCACATTCAACATTGTGGGTGCATGTAATCCAAAAGGTTTCATATTGCAAGAGGCAGCCTGATGCTTTGTTGTAAAGTTGAAGTTTGATGGTTCAAGCTCTGAATTTGTGAAGAAAGCATTCAAAGTTTTAATAGGATTATAAAATGAACGGGTCAAATTATAATTGTTTATCTTGTTTGAAGTTTTACATGTAGCCTAACTGAGGTGATGTGAAATGGGATTTCAGGCTGTGGCCTGAGACTTCTTCAATATCCATGTTGCTTTATGAATGTCTTCATGAATGAGTTAAAAATGGCACAAGTTCATGCAGAGCCGGAAAGTTGGCATTCTTGCATTCTCTAAATTTTTTTTTATTGTTGTACATGTACTCATACCATTTCTGAACCAACTTTTCTTTTTTGACGGATTTATTGCTTGACATTTTGTGCACTGTTATTTAGTTGTTGTGCTTTATGCTGCTTGATCAAAAAACACTACTGCAATCTTTTGCAAAACTATGTTGAAAGATGTGATACCCTCTCTTCCTGCTTGTTATACCCTCTCTTCCTGCTTGTGATACCCTCGAATTAGAAGCTTAATGATATTTGTTTATTGAATCTTCAATGCTTTGCAGTTTGTATTTAATACCGTTGAACTCATGAAGTATGTCATGTGCTAGTCCTAGCCAAAGAGCGAGCATGTCAAGCAGCTTTCAATTATCGAATTAAAAGCTTAATGATATTTGTTTATTGAATCTTCAATGCTTTGCAATTTGTATTTATATCATGCTAATGCTAGCATGATAATGCTTTGCAGTTTGTATTTAATACCGTTGAACTCATGAAGTATGTCATGTGCTAGTCCTAGCCAAAGAGCGAGCATGTCAAGCAGCTTTCAATTATCGAATTAAAAGCTTAATGATATTTGTTTATTGAATCTTCAATGCTTTGTGATTTGTATTTATATCATGCTAATGCTAGCATGATTATCAAATATTCAATTATAATTTGCTTTAGTATTCACTGTGTTGCTGGTACAGTCCTTGCTTTCCAGAGCTGAAGCTAAAGTAAAGAAGTTGCAACAATCGATTGATCTTTTAAAGGCAGAAAGCGACAAGTTGGAGGTAATCATTTTGCTTTCCTGTCAGTTTTATTTGCTTGGCTGTCAGTTTTAATTGATGACTAATCTTTCAGGTTGTGTGCCGGAAAATTTATATTGTGGCTGACATGAAATAGTTTGTGTTTTCTGATTTGTTGATATTTAGCTCTTTCTCACATCCCATCCCCCACCAGGTGCCCAGCACTCTTCTTCCTTGTCCTCAAAGTTTTATCAAGTTTATGGGTTTTAAATTGTGACAACACAATCCTACTTTCCAGACCCTCCAGTCTATTTACAAGAGATAAAAATAAGGATATAAAAGATGTATGTGGTATGTATCTTCCCCTAGTTGAAATGTGAGTTTCAGAAATTTGGCGAAAACATAGAATGCAGAAAGGTAGCAGCCTAGTTGATTTTGACTGCAAAATAATTCTCAATAGCCCATTTGCTTAATTTGTCTTATAGTTATGAATTTCACCTGTAAGAAATAATTAAAAAAGGGGAAAAAAAACCTTAAAAACCCGTTTGCTTTCTTTGTATTTTGATTATGAAAATTTATGGTTAAAACTTATTTAATAAAAGGAAAAAGAAAGAAATCATCCGTAGAAAATTTTCGGATACCTAAGAAGCACGGACACGGACGCGGATGCAGATACGGGACACAACGATTTCAAAAAAATAGGGACACCGACACGGCAGGGACACGACAGTAAAATATGTTTTCATATATTTTTATTTGCTATCTAGATTAATATTACATCCATAAACAATTAATATTTATAAAAACTAACTCTAAATCTTTTTTTTTCTTTTTATTTTTTATTTTTTAAAAAGCAGTTTTAAATTAACGCTTATAGTTTATATATATATATTTTTTATGAATGATCTATTAAGTATTTAAATCTAAGAAAAAAATAATAGACATTCAACATTCATCAAAAGCACTAAATAAAATGAGAGAGAAGACAAATTGGCACGTCCCTAGTGTGTCTCCGAAGTGTACCCTGAAAATAAATTAATTAAATAAGGGGACATGCCATGTGGTGTGCCCCATATGTGTCCCCGAAGTGTCTGCGTGTCCCCAAAGTGTCCGTGTATCCAATATAGATACAACACTTGTTTTGAAGTGTCGGTACTTCATAGGCGGACACATTATGATTATTGAAGAATTGGAAGTTAACCTGATCAATGGACTCAAATTTAGGCATCCTTGGTGGCACTTTGTTTTCATCGTTTTAATTTTTGATTTGTATTTTTTATGCTTTTGGAATTAGAAGGAACGGAAATTTAAAGGTTTTTATGTCATTCTTATCTTGTAGTCGATTCAAGTATTGGAGAACTTAGAAACTATGTTTAGTAGTTTACTGAATGTTGGCTGTTTTTTAGGGAACTTTTTTTAAAACAAATTTTGAAACTTATACCAAATGGGTTCTATTTATTCAGCTTCTTCGAGCCTACTTGGGGTGGAGAAATGTTAAGTTATTGAATTTCATCTGTTGCTAGTAACAAGTAAGAACTTTTGGTCAGAACCCTCTTGAAGCAACATGTAGACTTGAACCATTATACTGAAATTCATTTATCTTTGCTTGTGACATTACACATTGGCTTCTTCCTGTTGGTATAAATTATTGACTGTAAACTTTCTATTTCCTACTTTAACCATGAGCTCTAAAAAGTGCATGTAATGCTATGCATATGAGGAAAACTTGCAAAATGATCTGGCATGTCAGTAACTACCTTCTTTTTAAAACACAGGTTGATGTGGGTGTCACATCAGGTTGTAAATGGAGTTTTTGTACAAATTTTAAGTAAGTGTAGCATTTTAATATGGGCTTATTGTTTCAGAAGAGGGCATTGCAAGCGGAAGAGGAAATGATGCGAGGAAGGACTAAACTGAGGTTTGTGTCTATAGATGGTGTGAAATTTATCGTACAAGTTATATTTCATGGACTAATTTTCCTGTCCAAATTTCTGCCATTTCTAGACAAGCGGGGAAGCAGATCCAAGGTGTCATTCGTTCATCTTATAAGATTGAAAAACAAGCAGGGGGTATGAAATCTCAGTACGAATTACTTAAATGAGCAAATTGAACTTGTGTCAAAGACATTTTTTGGGGTATGTTGGTCCCTTTATTGTTTTTGCATTGCACCAGGCTTGAAAGATGTGATTGGAGAACTTCCTCGCGGAGAAGCATCTCGATTTCGATCCCAAGTAGGTTTCTTGGTCATTAATGCGTGGAATTTCTAGAATTAGAGTCCTTAAACTATTTCTTTCAAGGCCATTATTTTGGTTAGATTATTTTGTGTTTTACCTGAGCATATATGTGTGTAGAAAGAAAGGAAACTTTGTTCATAAGGCATGATAGAACTAGACTTTGTCATAGTTTTCATAGTTTTATGTATATCATTTTACAGGTGAGTTTGTCTAAAGTAAAAAAAAAAAAAAAAAAATATATATATATATATCGAATATTCTGTAATGTAGTGGAGTAAGTAATTTATAAAAAGAAATATATTAAAAAATATGATTTTTTTTTATCATGTCCCCATGTCCTTGAACATGAGAATTAAATGAATCAGACACTTGCATATCCAAGTCCATGTAACATAGGGAAATACTGTGAGAGATGAGTCCTAAAATTATATTCATTGTCCTCTCCTTTTGTTTTGTTGATGTACAAGCTGACGCCTT